ACATTCCCGCCTGTGTTTCTGGCAGCTGCCCTGTCCTGGCTCTGGTGATGCAAAGTCTCCTGCTGGCACCTTGCCCGGCCGTTCCCAGGGCCCAGCTCTCATTCATTGACTGGGTAGGATTACAGGAACTGGGGGAAATGCACCAGGAAGGCTGGATTTGCCACCAAACTGCTGTTGGCTCCTGGTTTATTTGCTGCTTTCCCACCTCCCAAGCTGGTGGCAGCTCCTTCACACCAAGGCTCTCTGGTGTTTGCCTTTGGGCAGAGCTGCGGCCCTTATGGAGCTCCAGGGTGAGCACAGAGGAGTGTAAGCCAGGCTTATCCTGAATTTACAGCATCAAGGGCTCGGATCCAGTCTGCTCTGCTCTGGACAGTTTATTGCAGTGGGATTTCTTGCTCTGATTCAAGATCCTTGATGCTGTCTGCACCCAGCTTGGGGACAGAAAGCAGCAAGGCCCAGTGGCTTGGGGCAGTGGCATCTGGGACAGCCAGCACCCCTCACATTTTTCCCTGGCATCGTGCTGAGCTCTTTTTCTTCCTTCTGAGGCAGGGCCTGACCAGCAGTGTCAGTGTCAGGCTTCGTGGCAGGTGGATGAGCTGGGAAGTGGCTGCATTGCCCAGCCATGGCAGGACCTGCAGCACGCAGGGTCACACTCATCTGCCCCCCACTCAGCTGCTCAAGGTTCCACACAGAACTCCAATCTCCCCAACCTCCTCATCACCCCCCCGTTGAGCTCCTTCCCTTGGATCTTTGCCAATGAGCTGGACCCCCCCCAGCAGCCCGGAGGAGGGTCAGCCTGGGGCTGTGCTGGGGTCAGTCCCCCCTCAGAGGCCTTCCAGGGTGCTGCAGGACACCCACGCACTCGGAGCACAAACAGCTTGTCCAAGCCCAGAGCAGAGCCAGGGATGTGCAGAGCAGAGCAGAGCCAGGACAGGCAGCGTGGTGTCACTCCAGGACACGGCGCTGGCCTCCCCTGCTCCCTGCCGAGGGTGGGATTGGGTGTTTTCCTTTTTTTTTCTCCTTTCTCTTCTCCATCTTGGCTGTCTGGGAGCATGGGGCAGAGCTGAGCCCTGCTCCCCTGCACAAACTGTGAGCCAGGGGCAGCGTCTCACGCTGAGGTTAGAGCTGAGTGTCCCTGGAGTAGGCGGTGTTTTTATGTTTGTCCCTGTGTGTTCATCAGGGCTCTCAGCTCCCTGTTGTCCTCTGGACCACGGGGTGTTTGTCCCTGTGTTTGTGTGTTCACCAGGGTGGGTTCTCAGGTCCCTGTTGTCCCCTGGAGCAGGGGGTGTTTGTCCCCATGTTTGTCCCTGTGTGTTCACCAGGGCTCTCGGCTCCCTGTAGTTTCCTGGAGCAGGGGTTTTTCTGCCTGTGTTTGTCCCTGTGTGTTCACCAGGGTGGGCTCTCAGCTCCGTGTTGTCCCCTGGACCACGGGGTGTTTGTCCCCATGTTTGCCCCTGTGTGTTCACCAGGGTGGGCTCTCAGCTCCTGCCTCCTCCAGTGCTGGGCACCAGGCAAGATCAATCCTGCCAGCACTCCTGATTGTGCTGCCAGCTGACATTTTGTACCCAGCCTGGCTGTTTTGTCTGAGTCTCCAGCTCCTGGAGACAGGTGAATGAGGGCAATTCCCACATTTCTGGTGAACAGCAGGCTGTGCTGCCTCTGGCTCCCAGGGCTGCTGGGGGATGCAGTGGCAGTGCAGAGGGACAAGCTTTGGGATACAGCCCTTGGCATGTAAGACACGATCTCCTTGTGCAGGCACATCTTCAGTAGCACCAGCATTCCCTTTCTTTAACCACTTGCCATGGCAGCACTTCCAGCTGCTGCAAAACTCTTTGGAGTGACTTTGTTGCCCTGCAGATGGGAGTTGGGGTGGGATGGGACAGCTGAAAGCCTCATTTATTTAACTGTCCAGAAGATAATTCTTAATCCCTGCAAACCCTACAAGTTGGCTTAACTGGGTGCTCAGAGGAACCTCGGAGCAGTTTCCTTTTCCATCCCCATTTCCTTCCCCCCCCAGCTTCAGCGGGCAGGATCAGGCCAGTCCCCACGAGCCTCTGGACCTGGAGCTCAGCTTTTCAGAGCCGACTATTTGCTGGAGCCTTGGTTTGGGCTGAGCTCAGCCCCCCCAGCTGCTCGGAAGCCTTCCTCCCACGCAGCCCTCCCCAGAGGCTGCACGGAGCCAGGAGCAGCTGTGAGCAGCCTCTCCCCACACTGGGCACCCGTGCTGGTCCTGGGGCCGTGTTCAAGGTGCTGGGGAGGTGGAAAGAGGATGATTTCTCATCCCAACCCTTCCTCTCCCATTCACTGTTGTTCAGGAGAAGCTTCCCCCGGCCCCTGGGTTGGGCAGCTCCTCATGGCAGTGCCCAAGGGAAGACAGGAGCAGAGGCTGAGGCAGATCCAGCCCTTAGTGAACGGTTCAACCTCAAAATCCACATCCTCAGCCATGGCAGGAACATGCAAAAGCAGGCAGGTGGCACAGGGCTGTGTCTAAAACCAAACAGCTCCTGCAGGACCTGCATCTGGGAACTGTGAAGTGGTTTTGGTTTGTAGCAGCACAACCTGTCCTTTTCATTCTGAGAAAGAAGTTTTGCATCAAGCCCTGCGTGCTCCCAGTAACCCCAGGGCCACCATCACCCCATGGCACTGGGGACCACCTTCCTACAGCAAAGGGCTGCTGGGCTGGGGGCAAACAGCCTCTGTGGTGTTACACCCCCCCTGCAGCCCCTTCCTGCTGCCTGCCAGGGATGGCTGATGTGCTGGGGGCTGAGTTTGGATGGGTTCAGGCATCCTTCGGAGCTGGAGGGCTCCTAAAGCTGGAGGAAGGAGCTGAGCTCTCCCAGGACTGTCTCCCTGCCTGTGCTCCTCAGAGCAGGGCTCCTGCATACCTTCTCTGAGACCACAGCAGAGCTGCAAAGCACTTCCTTTTACCAGGATATTTATTGCTAAATATATGAATCTGGGAGCCTGTGGAGCGTGAAATTAGGAACAAATGTAAAAAGGAGGTCTAGACAGGAATTGTTCAGCTTATGGGCCTCCACATGCTCTGCTTTCCTCCCCCTTTGCACGCTGGAGGGTTTAAAGCTTCCAGGTATGCAGCTTTAATCAGAGAAGTATGTTTGGGGAGGGGAGAAGGGAGAAATGCAAATGGTCCAGCTCCGGAGGGAGCAGTGGCTGAGATGCCACGTCTGGACAGGAACCATGGAAATTGGCTCAGTGCAGCCCTGGCTTGTGCCCCGGGGCTTTAATTAATGGCTGGAAAAGCCAGAGAGCCCTCCCTGGCAGAGCTCTGCCTGCCACCTCCCATCTCGGGCCGGCAGGGAGATGCTGATGCTCTGTGATGGGTGCAGCTCCCATCCCTGAGAGCCTGCAGGGTTGAGTGGTCACCCCAGAGCCAGGCTCCTGTCCCAGTCCTGCACCCCCTGCCCTTGGCTCTGGGATTGCAAATGGGAGCAGCCAAGGACCCAGGGATGGGCATTTCCAGCTGGCGCCTGGCCCAGCCAGGCGCCTCCATCCCTCTTTAAACAGCAGCCAAAGTTTCTAAATCACTAATGCGTCGTTTGCAAACCCTTCCCATGGCTGTGCTGTTCCCCCTGAGCCTCCTCAGAGCGTTTCCCCCGAGGAATGAGGGCAGGATTTGGCCCAGCTCTTGCCCCGGGGCCGTGGGGTGTGAGAAGGGTGTGAGAAGCCGTGGAGCCATCGGGATAAATTCCCTTCCCTCCTCCCGAGCTGCTCAGCAGCAACATAAAACGTGATGCTGCTTTATCCATTCAGCACTCACCCAACTTTAACAGGACATTAAGTGCCTGAAAATATGGCACAGGTTTGTTTTCTTTGGAAGCAGGTTAAATCCCTGACAGATACAGTTGCTTTTCCTCGGGTGCTGAAGTAATTTGGGGCTGGGGTGGCTGGTTTTTGCTTTAACCTGATAGCACGAGCTGGGAGCCAGCTTTGTTAAAGCACTTGGAGAGTAGGTGGTCAGGGTAGGATTTCTGCCTTAATTTATGTCTCTCCTGCTGCTCCCAGCCTGAACTAAAATGTTGCTGGAGTTTTATTTGTGCCAGTTTTAGTGCCACTGTCTCCTAGCTGCTGGCAGGTGTGTGAGCAGGCAGGTACCCTGTCTCCCCAGCATCATTCCTGGGGCACAAAGCTGTGTCTGATCCTGGGGTGGGGAGGAACTGGAGGCCTCCCGTGAGCATTCAAGGCAGGGATGCTGAGAGCAAACCCCTGCTGGTGTTGCAGGGCTTATGCTGTGCAAGATACACAACATCTGTCCTCTGGAGAGCCCAGCAGGGACAGGGACAGGGGGACAGGGACCTTCTGCTGCTCCCTGTGCTGTGCCAGCTCCTAAGTGGCATTCCAGGAAGAGAAGAGTGCTGGTGGTACCCCAAAATGCAAGCTGAGCCACAGCATCTCTGTGATGTGCACTGACAGCTCACCTGGGGCTGTCAAACATCATCCTGGGGTGCCCCCAGAGCCCCCCAACACTGTGGGTGAAGTGGAGGATCCTGGTGCCTTGGGCAGGTCCTGCTCTCAGGGAGGGCAGCACCCAGCTCCCTGCAGTGATTAAAGGCTCACTTAGCAGCCGAGGTTACTCCAAATTCAAATACCACATTGTTTTCATGGGGAAAATGGATTAGAGGCTCAGAGAAAAATGAGTGCAGATCAGAAATCCTTATTGCAAGGCTCCTTCTCCCATCATTGGAGTTTTCTGCCACCAGGTAGGAGCTGGGAGAGTGCCCTTGGTGCCTGGTGTTATTTCCCTTGGTTCCCCCTCCTGAGGGCAGATGTGACCCCAGAGCTGCTTCTCACTCACTGCATGAAATTTTTTTAACCCTTACACCTGCAAGGTGGCATTTTTGGTGACTCCCTGGTGACTTACCACAGCTGCCCTGTGGATTCTGATTCTGCCCTCCTGCTTTTTAGCCCACTTCAAAAGGGGGCAAGCAGAGAGTTTGGGGCTCTGCAGCCCATCCCCTCACCCCGTGCACTCAATTTTGCAGGCTGTTAATGGAGAAGAGGGCGGATGACAGCCGGGACCGTGGTCATCACAGGTGGAATATTAGCGACTGTCATTTTACTCTGTATCATCGCCGTCCTCTGCTACTGTAGGCTCCAGGTAAGGCCGGGGGGTGCCTCAGTGGGGAGGGCTGATGGCCTGGCAGCTCTGGGGGTGCCAGCTGAGCCCCTTCCCCTTTCAGTACTACTGCTGCAAGAAGGATGAATCCGAGGAGGACGAGGAGGAGCCCGACTTCGCCGTGCACTCGCACATCCCTCCGCTGCACTGCAACCGCAACGTAGTGCTGACCAACGGCCCCTCGCTCTACTCCTCATCCCCCTTCACCAAAAAACCGGCCCAGAGCCGGCCCAGCTGTCCCAGTTGCGCTCCCTACGAGCCCCCTACCTCCTTCCTCCAAGAGCCCCCCACATCCTTCCTCCAAGAGCCCCCAACCTCCTTCCTCCAAGAGCCCACCACATCTTTCCTCCAAGAGCCCACCACCTCCTTCCTCCAAGAGCCCACCACATCCTTCCTGCAGGAGCCCCCCACCTCCTTCCTGCAGGAGCCCCCCACCTTCTTCCTGCAGGAGCCCCCCGAGGAGCTGCACAACGGGGGGGACAGGGTGAGCTACAAGACGGTGAGCCAGGAGGACCTGGCGCTGCCCGTGTCCAACCTGCAGGCGCTCAACCCCAACCGGCTCTCGGCCATGCGGGAGGCGTTCTCCCGCAGCCGCAGCATCAGCACCGATGTCTGAGGTGCCGCCGGCCCACCCAGCCCCAGGGGCATTGGACTGGCTGGAATTCGTGGAGGAGTTTTGAATAGGGAAAAAAAAAACCAAACAAAAAAAAAAGTGAATGTATTTTGACGGGCTGGTGGTGTAAAGGGGGAGCAGAGCAAACTCAGGTGTGGGGGTGCAGCTGGAACAGGAGGTTTCTCACTGCTGTGTTGTTGCTTGGTTTTTTCTTTTATAAAGAGGATTTTGATACTGAGCATACTTTTCTACAGAGGAGCTGCCCCTCCTCGCCATTGGGCCGGGGGTGATGAGCAAATGATGGGGCTCATGGGTGGCTGAAAACGGCTCGTGCTGCAGGTCAGCAGCAGCTGCCAGGATACACTCAGCCACCCCAAAATGTCCTCTGGCCAAGCAAGGCTGTCACTGCCCACCCTTCTGCCAGCCTGTGCTGCAGCCGTGGGGGTGGCTGCGGGTGTGAGCCCTGCAGCATTCCCAGCCCATCCCACTGCTCCAGCCAGGCACAATCCCAGGTGCCAGGCACAATCCCCTCAGGGTTAGGATGGTGGCTGTCCCTGGAGCCCCCCAGAGTGACCTCATGGAGCCCCTGAAGGATGTGGGCTGGGGTGTAAAACCTCTGCGTTACTCAGTGATGGAAATAACACACAGCACACCTTGGGATGGAGGAATATCCCTGTGGATAATCAACATCCCTGCTCCAAGTGGTGCCACACACAGCTCCTGACTGAGGGCTCCGTGGCACAGGGGTCACCGTGTGTGTGCCCACCCCTTGCATGCACATTTTTACACACATTTATTTGTTTGGGAGGGGTTTTTTAAACAAAAATAAAAGGAAAAAAAAGACACTTTTCCCCCAAAAACGCTTTTAAATTTAAACAAAACCTGCAATTTGCGTTTTCCACTGAGCCATTTGCCATGGCTGGGCAGCCTGGCTGTGGCACCAGCTCTGTCCCACGCTGGATGCAGCAGGGACAGCCCTGGGGGAGCAGCAGGCACAGAGCTGGTCCTAGATGTGCTGCAAAGGAGCCCTTGGGCTTTCTCAGAGATTTAGGAGAGGAATTGCAGCACTGAGGGGTTTCCTCCTGCTCTGGTTTCTCCTGGCTGTCTCCACTCCTCTCCTCCGACCTCACCACACTCCATGTGACAGAACTCCCTGTTTCTCCTGGACTGGGCATTATTCAGGTTAAAAGCATCACCTGGGGATGGCTGGTGAGGATGGACTGGCTGCACAGAGACTCAGATGGCCTCAGGGCTGTGCTCCAGGGGGATTTTCCTTTTTAAAGATGTTCTGGGAAGAAGCAGCCGTGCCTGCAGCCCCTGGGGCTCACGGACACTGTTTGGGCTGGGTATTTTACTTCAGACCACGAGGGCTTTTAATTCCACAGGAAACCTTTTGAAGTACAAGTCAGTCTTTGCAAATGAATATCTTTGACTTTCTGGGGGGGTTCTGTTTGGGGTGGGGAGGGCTGGGGTTGGTTTCCTACGTGTTTAATATTCCGGGCTCGGTCCCTGTGGCCCAGCACATCCCAGAGGGATGCAGCCACTCAGGCCTTGCCCCCATGTACAGTTCTCACTGGGGTTTGTTCCCATGCCTTGAGCCCTTCTCTCCCTGTTTTTCGTGATTTCTCCTACCAGCCTTCCTTTCCTCCTTTTTTTCCCTTGTTTCTTTCCCTTGTAGCTTGGAAATTCAGCACATGGTTGGCTGTCACTAACCCTCACCTGGTGATCTGTTGTACAGGACTTTGGGAATCTCAGATTTGGGGAGGGAAAAAGTAAAAAAAAAAAAGAAAAAATAATAAAAATAAATAAATTACTTTGACATGGGTTTTGAGGTTTTTTGTTTACTTTTTTTTTTTTTTTTTTTTTTACCCCTGCATCTGCAAATTTGGGGTGATGTTTGCAAAGCACTCAGGAGCTCCCTGCTGCTGAGGGAGGGTTCCAGCAGCACTTGGGGTGCACAGAGAAGTTTGGGGGATGCTAAAGAGCCTTTGGCTCAGTGTCTGGGGGGGGTCACACCAGTAAAAACACAGAGCAATAACCCCTTGGGAGCTCAGAAAGGCCCTTTTCTTACTGGCACCATGTGAAAACTCTCTGTTCCCAAACCCCTGAGGAGCTTCAGGGCTGCAGCTTCTAAAGCCTCAAAACTCCAAAGGGCCCCCAAAAGTCCCCAAATCCCCCCACTGTTGGGACTTTTCCTTGCATCAGTGCCCAAGGAGCTGTGATTCTCCTAATTTAAAGCTGCTCTGCCTCCCCTGGGCACCAGCAAATCCCCAGCCCCAATTCCAGTGCTCCCAGCACTCCACTACAAACTGGAGAATAAAACAAAATACCACCATAAATATGACAACTTTATTAAAATATACATATGAGTACAAATTAATGATTATATGGATAAAGTTCACTGTCTGTAAACAAATATATTAAAAAAGAGCACGTCTTTTTTGTGATATAAAGTGCAGTTATGTTTCCATATTATATACAATATGTCAGCATCGGGGGGGAGGGGGTTTGTAAGGACTATGAAACTAACATTTGATTATAAGATAAAATTCTCTGAAAAAGTATACACCTACATATTACAAAAAAAGGGCTGGAGTTCATTTAACAAACGAGGATCAGCTTCCCACCACGTTAATTCAGCTAACGAGAGCCTGCAGGCCTCGGGATAAATCAGGAGAGAGGCACCAAGCCCATTTTGTGATGGGAAACTTGCACTTCCCAGAGTTCACACCTTCCCCTCGCCAACCCCAACCTTGCACCGAGGGAAGAAACAGGACAAGAGCTTGGGTGTAGCTGGATTTTGGGGGGGAGGAATCAAATATACACGATTTCTGTACAGCTCTGACCCCGGGGGGCTCCCAACGTCCAGCAGCCAGGAGAGGAGTTCTGCTTCGGTGGGGACACCAAAACCAGGCCAAAAGCATCCTTGTCAGCAGTGTGGGCAGGTGGAAGGTGGAGCCCTGGCTCGGGCAGCCCTGCCCTAGGAGTGGGGAGCGCGGCAGGAGCGGCAGCAGGCTTTGCTGTAGTACCAGTGGCTGCACAGGTTCACCTTGATGGCCAAGGCACAGTTGGTTCCTGCCTGGTCCTGGCAGCTGTCGTCTGCAGGGAGAGAGAACACTCATGCTTTCAGCAGGCTGAAAATATGGCACGGGTTTGTTTGCTTTGGAGGCAGGTTAAAGCCCTGACAGATACAGTTGTTTTTCCTCGGGTGCTGAAGTAATTTGGGGCTGGGGTGGCTGGTTTTTGCTTTAACCTTTGTTAAAGCATTTGGGGAGTAGGTGGTCAGGGTAGGATTTCTGCCTTAATTTATGTCTCTCCTGCTGCTCCCAGCCTGAATTAAAATGTTGCTGGAGCTTTATTTGTGCCAGTCTCGTAGCTGCTGGCAGGTGTGAGCAGGCAGGTACCTGTCTCACAGGGTACCCTATCTCAAGGCATGGCATGGAAAAGAAAAAGAAAATTAACAACTGTGAGCTCATGAGGTCATTTTCCTCCCTACACAGCTCTAAACACCACAGGATGAGCAACAACATCAGCCCAGCTGTGGCTGCCACCTCCCTGACATCCCCTGGAAAACACCATGGAGCTTCTCCAGAAATGTCACTGTCAACCTGGGCAAAGGCATGAGCAGGCTGGTCTGTTCCTTCACACCTGGCCAGGCTTGGGGAGTCTCACTTGGTCCCAGCCCTGAAGCTCAATGTCCTTGCTGTAAAACAGAGCTGCCCAGGGGCTGCTGGAGCCACCAAGGCACTGAGCTGTCCCCAAGTCAAGGGCTTCCCCTGGTAGGGATTCACAATTCTATCCCAAAGAGGCTATTTGAGAAAGGGAATGGATTTAGCAGTGTCACATCCAGAGTAAGGGGCAAGTGAGATGCTGGAGAAAGGGATGAGGTTACTTCAGCACTCTCCCAGCTCCTTTCAATGCAATATTTTGCTTCAAACCCATAGTATTCATATTTTAATATACATTTTTTAATTAAAATCCATGGGATGCATGAAACCAGGTTGCTCCCAGGGCAAGGTGGCCATGAGGCAACTCCCAAGCTCCATGGATCCTAAGGGAATGGGCAGCTGAGAACACCCAGAGCTGAGCCAGGAGCTGGCCCCAAATCTGTCACCCATTTTCATGCTTTTCTCCCACACTGTCCTCATTCCCAAATCCTATTAAAGGATTAGAACTGTGTGTTTGCTAAAGATCACAGGGACTCTGAGCCAGCAGACGAGTCAGATAACGAGATAGTTACAAATCCCCCAGGACACCCGAGGACCAAAAATCATTAAAATAATGGCACAGACAGAACTTCCTCAGCTCTAGCTGGAATCTTACAGAAGCAGCACCCAAATCAGCTCTCCAAAGGCCCCTTTTATCTTCAGGTCAGAGCATGATTCTTCCTCTTAATTTATCTCCAGAAGGAGCCTGTGCATTACTTGGGCAGAGAGGGAGATGTCCCTGGCATCCTCCCTGGCATGATAATCCTAATGGGGCAGGGGAAGATAAGGTGCTGGTGGTGCTGCTGGAGGGATCCATGGAAAATCAAGGCTGTGGGGCTCACCTGGGGGCTCTGTGGGGCAGGGCTGCAGGTCACAGGTCTGTTTGCCCACCGGCTTCACCAGCGGGTCACAGCCCCGCACGATGTCCTTGCCCTGGTAGCACTTCACATCCCGCATCCTCACGCCGATCCCGCAGGTCTTTGTGCACTGGGGGACAGAGAGAGGGGGTGAGGCAAGACTCTGCCACCCCAGGAGACTGTTCTGAGCCAGAACCTGCTCACTGGAGATGTTAGGGCAGGAGGAGGATGTCACATCCCAGTGCCACACCGCTGTCCCCTCGCGCTGTCTTTGCTGCCAGCACCATCAGTTCTGCCCAGGGGTTGGTGGATGTGGTGCCATCCCCTGGCTCTGACATCCTCCCTCCTGGTGCTGCCCTTCACAAGGGACCACAAACAAGCTGGCCCAATCCAGGTGTTGCTCTGCAGGGCATGGGTGGCCATGGAAATTCCAGAGCAC